CCCCAGCCCTGCCTAGAATATTTAAATACCCACTTTCTCCTCTAAAGTGCAAATATGTTCATTTAACTATTGCAGTAGACCCAGGGAGAGGCGATGAGAGTGTGAGTCAGGGCAATAAAAGTGGAGGGGACAGAGGAAGAGGAAGGGGTGCAGGAAGTGTTAGAGCAGTGGACCTGTATCTTGGAGTGAGAGCACAGGGGAGCATGTGTTACTATTGTGTGAGCAGTAATGTTGAGTCTGGGGTACTTTAGAATGAGGCATCTAGTAAGACCCTGAAGACACGGCCCCTTACCCATCTGCTGCAGGTGGAGGTCAGACCACAGGAGCAGATGAGATTACCTGGGCCGGGCAGGTAGAAAAAGAAGCCGTGGACAGTGCCCAGCTGGGGTCCTCAAGTTAGTAAGGGCTACTCAGCATCTGCGGTGAGCACGTTCCCTGTACAGGACAGATGGTGTCCAAGAAGACAGTTCAGAAGGAAGGGGGTCCCCGTCTCAGGTGCCGCAGAGAGGCTGAGAAGGCCCCTGGATTTGACACCGGACTGGAGAGTGGCACCTCTTCTAGGAGAGCAGAAAATGTGAGGACCAGGTGGTGGGAAGGCCCTGTCCCCACACACTGCTGCTGTTAGGGGCGTGATATGCCGCCTCTTGATGCCACTCAGAAGAACCTATGTTAATAATTTTATGGTAAATTCTGTAAGACTTTTTTGTCTGCATATAAACAAATATGGTGTTTATATGTATCTACATATGTAGTTTTTAAAATAAATATTGGCTCACACCGAACATACTCTTCTACTGATTTTACATGACTGGCATCTTAATGGCTCTACATGTAGAACTTTCTACGTGTTTAATATTTTCTGTTTCTTTAGGGGTTTTGCAGTGTGGATTTTTTCTTTCTTTTTTTTTTTTTTTTGAGACAGGGTCTTACTCTGTAGTCCAGGCCTGCCTCTACCTTCTGAGTGCTGGGTTGCAGGTGGTACCGGCGTGCACAGTTCACTTATTCCAGTTTGTAGCTACTGTACTCTTGTTACTGTGGGAATGTACTGTAATTTTTAGTGAGTGGACCCTTGATGATGAGCTCATAGGTTGTTCCTAGCTCTTCCCGACTTCAAACAGCGCCAAGGTGAATGTTTCTGTTCCTTTGACAGGGTGAGTATAGGCTGACCGTGAGGATTGTCACCTGCCCAGCTATCCCCAGGGCTGGACATGAGGCAAAGGCGCTGTAGCTGTCACAGCGCCTGGGTCTTGCAATGTCTCCTTTCTCTTTGTATTTTTATGTATTTCTCATTTTGGTGCCGGAAATTGCAGCTACAGCCTGGAATATTCCAAACACATGCACCCCCACTTAGTCAAACCCTTAGCCACCATCTTTGTGTCCTTAGCATCCACAGCACTGATCCACAGGCAGCGTGAAGAGCTGTCTGCTGGGAGGCTGATCTCAAGGACACGAGAGCCTGTCTTTAGAAGGAGAGTCCAGGAGTGAGCTCTGCCCATAGTTATGTGGTTTCAAAAGCGCTTTCCTGAGCATTTGTTAGCTGGGAAACACCTTCAGGCATGGCTAGTGAGAGCTGTTTCTTCTCCTGGTATGACGTGTCTGCTCTCCTCCCGGTATGACGTGTCTGCTCTCCTCCCTGGTCAGCAGGAAGACAGCTGAGAAGGCCCCTTCATAACTGACTGGTTAGAGCGGAAAGTTACAATCGCTGTTACGTCGCCATTATCTCTTCAGCCTCACTTGGTTTTCATCTCCAGGATTCTGCTCACAGAACTTTTTAGAAGTGGGGATAGTTTCTTTTGAGCCCAGCATGACTAGAGCCTGGCACAGAACCTTGTACACATGACCTTTGGCAGAGAATGGTGAATCAAGCACTGTCGGGCTGGGCATTTGGCATAATTGGGGAATTGGTCTGACTGCTTCCCTAGTTTATATATGTTTCCCATTGTTCGTGATAACTCTTTTATTACATATTAAGTCCATCCTTCCCTCTCTCAGATGGGATCGGACTGTGTTACCTAAACTGACCTTAAACTCGGGGGCTTAAGTGGCCATCCTCCTGCCTCAGCCTCCTCAGTAGCTAGTACTATAGGCATGTGCCTCTGCACCCAACTTTAGATTCTTAAATATATGTTTCTGAGCCTTATTTTTATTTATTAATTTATCCATTCGTTTTAGAGTTGATCTGTGTAATGTTAAGTAATGTTACTTTAGAATGTGTTCTGATACCTCAGAAGGCTGTCTGTAGCAGGTTAGCCCCTCTGTTTCAAAATAGTGTATAAAACTCTTGTGCAGCATCGTTGCAAAATTAAATGTAGAAATCGTTGGTTGTGTTCTAATAAAAAATACCCACTGAGATTTTTGTAGTTGAGAGCCTGTTAAATCTATAGGCTCTTCTTTTGGGTTTTGGGGCTTGTGTTTATTTGTTGTTGTTGTTTTCAATAATGTCTCCATAGCACAGGCTGGTCTCAAACCTGAGATGTAACCAAGGATACCTTAAACTTCAGTGTCCTGCCACCGATCCTGAGTGTTAAGTTCACAAGCTTGTGCTGCTATGCTCAGTTTGTAAGTCAGTTTCTCTGCTGGTGTTTCCATCGCCTCATGTGATACAGTCCCCTTCATTCGTGTGTTCTGTTCAGTGCTTAAGTCAAATATATATATATATATATATGTACAGCCATGCCGGTGGGTCTCAGCCAGCCTGTGCCTGCTGATGGAGACCCAAAGAAGAATGTACCCCTCGAGAAGCTCCCTTGTGAGCAAGAGGTGACTGACAGATAGGTGCAGTGTGCACTAGGGAGCCCTGTGGTGTGCACAGGTGCAGGGCAGGGTGTCAGCACAGCTGCGGGAGCTCAGGAAGGCTTCCTGGGGGCTGGGCCAGCTGAAGGGCAAGAAGAGTATTTCAGGCGGACAGAATGCTTCTAGGGATAGATACATAAAGAGACAAGAAAGAATATTCAAGCATTTTAGGAGCTAGAAGCAGCTGGTGTCGGATGACCAGAAGCAGCTGGCAATGAAGCTAGGAAGTAGGGAAAGGTGGCAGGTTGGGAAGGGACCCACGTGAAAGAGCTTGGCTGTAGGATTTAAGAGTTTAGATAGAAGAGTGAAATAATCAAATTTATGTTGGGGGGAAGTTATGTGGGGGGGGGGAATACAGGGTAGAGCGATGACTCAGCAATTAAAGGTCCTTGTCACCAAGTCTGAGAGTCTGAGTTTGGTCTAGGGACCCACATGGTGGAGGAAGAGGACCAGCTCCCATAGATTGTCCTCTGACCTCCACATGTGCACCGTGGCACACGAATGCAAGACCCACACACCCACACACACAAACACACTAAATAGATATACTAAATACAGCACAGTAAATAGATAAATGTCAAAAATTTTAAAAGACAAAATAAAGAGACTTGGCACAGTGGGTGGTATGTTGGTCTCACAAAGGAAATACTAAGGGAGACAGAACCACTCCAGCTAGCTTTGTGTGTAATCAAAACGTGGTTTTCATGCTTAACCAAATTAATAATAACCCCCTAGTATAATTTAATATTTAGTGCTTATCCATATTTCTTGTTTATTCTACAATATCCTTTCTGTTTCTGGCCAGGATTTAGATCACATATCCAGGACTCAGGATTGATAATCAGGACTCAGAATCTGAAACCAACCTTTATAAACAGTGCCATGGGCTTGAAGAAACCCGTTTGTTGTCTTGAGGAACATCCCTTGTTCTGAATGTGTTTGCCTCTTACTGTAACTTATTCCTTATGTCACAGGTGTCTAGAGACTAGGAGTTAGCCTTGAATGGCCAGTTGGATTGTGGTTCCTATTTTTCTTTGAGGGAAGCTTGTAGAAACAGTCATAGGCAGAGCCATCAGTTACTTTGACCACTCACAGGGATCAGGATACAGACAATGTCAGTTCATCCCCCACCCTCACAAAGTCCCCGTTAGCTTGTCCCTGCAGAGCTCACCCACTGGTATTGTCTTTGCACTGCATTGCTTATCAGAGCCCACAAAATGTTTTGTCAATCTTTTCATATTAGTTAAATAAAAAGTGTTCTCTTAGGGCCAGGGGAGATGGCTCTGTGGGTCAAGGGTTTGCTGTGCAAGTCTGAAGACCTATGCTTGAGTTTCCAGAGCCCACAAAGCCGGGTGTGGCAGCTGGAGGGCAGAGACAGAAGGATCCGCAGGCCTCCTAGACAGTCTAGCGGAAGCAGTCAGCTTGAGGGTCAGTAACAGATCCTGTCTCAGAAAAGAAGATGGAGAGAGCCTAGAGAATTGACTCGGCGGCTAAGAGCACTTGTTGCTCTTGCAGGGAACCGCTAGCAGCCGTCTGTAACTCCGGTTCCAAAGACTCTTGACTCCTCCTGACCTTCACAGGCACCAGATACACACATGGTACACATATACACACACGTCCAGGCAAAGCACTCATACACACAATATAAATAAATTAATGATGAGACACAATTGAGAATGACACCCTGACATCAACCTGATGTCAGCTTCTAGCCTCCATGCATACCCATACAACTGAGCACCTACACACATATGCACGCAACACCCACACCCAATCAAGAATATTATTTTAATAAATTCAACTAATTTTTTAATTAAAATATAGTAAGATTCTAAAAAAGATAAATGCTTAATTTATTCTCTTTTATTACAACTTTGGAACTGTCTCCTGTCGTTTGAGACAGGGTCTCACTAAGTAGCCTTGACTGGCCTGAAACTCACTGTGCTGGCCTTGAACTCATCAAGGTCTGCTCCTGAGAGCTGGGATTAGAGGTGTGTTCTACTACTCTAGGCGTTCTCGTTCTGACCTGCTACCTTGGCCAGTTCAGTTCAGCTCCCCCCAGAGATTGTCTCATTTCACCCACATCTGTCCGTTTCATGCGGACAGACAGATGCTTGCACAGAAGTGGTCATTGCATCCTTGAGTGGGTGCCCCTCAGTGCTTCCCAGAGGCAGAACTGTACTTCCTTCTGGTTCTCTCTGTTCTAGGTCACATTGTGAACAAGATGCGCAGGCACTCAGACCCAGAGGTGGCGAGTCTTGCCAAAGATGTTCACGCTGAGTGGAAAACTTTCTTTGAAGAACATGTGGATAGACCTTCTATTGAAGTCCGAAGTGATCCGAAAACTGAGTCATTTAGAAAAAATGCCCAGAAATTACTCTCAAACGCCTTGGAATTGGAGGTAAGTTTTTTTTTTTTAATTGTTGTTGTTAGCTTTTGGTTTTGGTTGTTTTTTATGTGAAATTTTAATAAACAAGTAGTAAAATATAAAAGTAAAGTTAGAGGGTTCATATTTCCAAATTTTAAATTTTCCTCTGCAGTAGTCAAGCAGAATTGACATTAAGATAAACATAAGAAAATGACATAGAATTTAGAGTCCAGAAAAAAAGTCATGCATCTAGGATCAGTTGATTTTCAACGCAGGTACCAAGCCCATTCCGCAGGAAAAAGAATGGTGCCAGTACAACTGGATATACTCTTACAAAATGATGAAACCGAACCCTTACTCACAATGCATACAAACAGCAAACTGAGACTGACCAAGCACTTGATTTTAAGAGTCAAACTATGAATTCTTAGAATAAACAGAGAGATCTGAAGAGATGACTGAGCAGTTAAGAGCATTTGCTACTCCATCAGAGCACCGGAGTTCTGGTCCCAGCACCCATGCAAGGCAGCCCACTATCACTGGTAAATGCAACTCTAGGGGATCTGAAATTGGGGGTGAGGTTTTAAGTGTGACTATGGGGTTTCCTAATTAAATGAGCCTGTATTCCCACAATGAGCTCTCCCCATCTTTGTGCAGGCCTATTTTGCAAAGTTATTGTTGGAGTTGGAAATGGTCAGCAGCTAAGAGGACCATTTGATGCTCTTGCAGAAGACTCAAGTTTGGTTCCTAGCATCCCATTGGGTGGCTCACAACCACCTGCACAATTATAGCTCCAGGGAATCTGACTCCCTCTTCTGGCCTTTTAGGTACTATAATGCAAGGCACATACATACATGCAGATACATACACATACATAAAAATGTTTAGATATTAAATAAATTAAATTAAACTGATAGCTTATCCTCCAAGGATTCTGGATTTGTGAGCTTTTGGGAGAACAGTGTTATGTTGACAGAGGTTTCTGTCCCGCCCAGTCCTGCAGTCATTCAGTCCCAAAGAAACACACAGAGGTCCACATTAATTATAAACTGGTTGGCCTATTAGCTCAGGCTTCTTGTTAACTCTTTTATCTTAAATTAATCCATAATTCTTGTCTGTGTTAGTCATGTGGCATGGTACCTTTTATCAGCAAGGCATTCTTATCTTGCTTCCTCTGTGTCTGAGTGACAACTGCAGACTGAGCCTTTCCTCTTCCCAGAATTCTTCTATTCTGGTTGTCCCACCTATACTTCCTGCCTGGCTACTGGCCAATCAGCATTTTATTAAACCAATACAAGGGCTGGAGAGATGGCTCAGCGGTTAAGAGCATTGCCTGCTCTTCCAAAGGTCCTGAGTTCAATTCCCAGCAACCATATGGTGGCTCACAACCATCTGTAAAGAGGTCTGGCGCCCTCTTCTGGCCTTCAGGCATACAGACAGAATATTGTATACATAATAAATAAATAAATATTAAACCAATACAAGTGATAAATCTTTACAGGGCACAAGACCTTTGTCCCACAGCAGTGTTGGCTTTGGAACCACCAAGGCCCAGCCCAGTTCAGGTCCTTGTTGTGTACCTGAGGCACATTCCTCAGTGTTGCTGAGGCTTGTCCTGACCTGTGAAAGCAGAGGCTGAACCCCACCACCTCAGTTCTTGGGAAAGCTAAGTGAACCATTTATATGAAGGAGTTGTCTATGGGGCCTGCTAGTTAGAAATCATTTAATAAATGTTGGTTTCTTCGAATTTCAGTTCTCTCTGTTCCACTGAAATAAAAAATTTGAAGTGTTGTAAAATGTCAGCTGTGATAAGAGGAAGGACCTCCTCCTCATTCTCTATCAGCCTGCACTTTCAGATCTGTGGCATGAAACCAGCTCGGTGGGCATATTCCGTTTCCCCTAGTCTGGATGATAGTAGTGGTTTAAGGTATACACCCTGGAAAAAAATTTTGCTCATTAGTAATAATATTAATAATGAGCCAGATGTGGTTAAAGCTAGCATGCCTGCTGGGCATTAGTGGCACACACCTTTAATCCCAGCACTTGGGAGGCAGAAGCAGGCGGAGTTCAGTGAATTCAAGGCCAGTCTGTCTATAAAGGGGGTTCCAGGACAGCCAGCGCTAGGGCTACACAGAGAAACCCTGTCTCAAACAACAGACAAAAAGCTAGCATGATTTTAATCCCAGCACTGGAGAAGTAGAAGCAGGCAGATGTGTAGATTTAAGGTCAGCCTAGGCTACATAGAGAGACTCTGTCTTGAAAAAAATAAAAAAATAACCTA